AATTTCAGCTATTAGTCGCTAGGCAACTTTTGTCTCCTGATACTAACTTTGCAAAGGTATAAATAAAGGGCTCTACTGTTATTCTTTGGGTCCTTTGCCAATCAGACATGATCCACCACCTGGTCCAGCTCTTGTCTTCTTGTTTATTTTTACTTCTTTCCTGCCGCCCTTTTTCCCTGGGGTACGCTGAGAGACCAACGGAGTCTCCACAATATACAATATTTTTAATGTATACATATACATCTGTACAATTTCTTGTACTAAGCTTTAGTAGCTGTATTTTATCTAATTTTTTGAAGCTGGAAGTTTCAATTTGTTGTGGAACACACGAATCTACTTGTTCCTTTTGATCTTTTGCCAGTTTTTAGAGGATCAAAGTAACTTGTAATCATAGATTTGATTATTTCAGAACAGATAATGAGTTTAAATAGTTTAATTGCTTACTTTATTTCAAAGTCTTTTATCAGAATTACGAAGGAATAAAAGGAAAAATAATAGCACTTAGATAATCTTCCACAATGTTGTGGAAGTCGGAGTCCAGTTAACTCAGTAACAGTTCACCCTGGAAACTGTCCCTTATTAGACAGTCATTAAACCTAAGGAGTAATCAAAATACCAGTCTTAGGAGAACGTTAATTCAGGGTAGAGGATATTTATAAACTTGAAATCCTCAAGAAGTAGCAACCCTTCAATAAACTTAAAGAATACTCTGATCCCTATCTTCTAGAGGCTTCTAATCATTTACTTTACGCTTGGAGTTTTGATCTCTGTGCCCAGACAGCAGCTGTATGTGTACTTCTTGATAGGAAGTTATTAACTTTAGCGTGTTCTTCTTGTTTTCAGAAGCATTTGGTTCTCTCCTTTCTATTTATTTTTTCTAATGTATCCATTAAGATCTGGTTTAAGTTTCATTTCCTTTTCAGTTCTTTGGTACAATAAATATTTGTGATGTGAGAGTCGTATATAATTTACATTCCTGGCGAACAACTCTGATTTTGGAATTGTAGGGCTTTGGGGTTACTGATTAATATGATAGTCATGGCTTTGTCTTTATTGGTCTCTTGAGACTTTTCCCTTATTACAGTTCTTGGACAACAGTGGTATAATTAGAAGGAAGTGTGTTTCAGAAGTAAAAATAACACTTGAGCTTTTTCTTATATGGTCTCACATACTATCAATATCCTTGTTGATTGACCATAAAACATCCTATATGATCTTTCTTATTTATTCACTAGAAATAAAGTAATTTATTACTCTTGGAATAAAGTTATACTTAAATTAGTTATTTTATATTTTCCAGTTGTACTTTAAAAATGTTTAAATAGCTTTTAATGGTAAATATAACAAGTCAAAAGGATATGCACACTTAGAGTAATTAAATTGTGTGAAAACTTTATTTTCTTAAAATTTGAATAGAAAGTTTTTCAAATTGCTTATTGCCATTTATCAGTAGGTACAATATTATTTATACTTACCTAATTTAATTTTTCTCAGGTAACTTGTTGATGCCTGACAATAAGTCTTCCATGTTGCTTTATTAAGTGGATAATTTAGTGAAAATGATGAAGCATATTTAATTTTATGCAATATATTTTATTTCTGTAGCAAAAAACATAAAAACTGTTTCTTGAAAGCCATAAGACAAATGATTGCCCACCAGACAATGCATGAAGTAAAACAAACGATGGCCTCAGTGACATTGTATCTTAATTCAAGTCAGAGAAACTCAAATAAGTAGCATACTACTTATTCCAGACAGTGGAGTATGTTTATATACCTACTTGCGTTTTGGAAGAACAGTTACAGTGAAGAAAACCAAGCAAATTCAGGGAATAAATGGGAGATACAACTGAAGCCTGTCTTGATGACATCAATAGACTTCTCTTGTTCTCCCAGTACAGTCTTACTGTCAAACACTTACTTTTATAGCCTTAAGCAAGGATCCGTAGCACTATTTGAAAAATGTTGCCAGTGATTGTCCAGTGACAGATATGTGTCCCATTAAAGTTGACAATTTAGATTTTTTTAGGAATGAAAATAAGAGAACACACATTTTCTTGACACATTCTTTACAACTTTCACTTGGCTATTGCCTGATTTCCTTGAGATCTTTATCAATCTCTAAAAGTACCTTATTTGCTGTATTGGCTTAGATCTAGGTGTCCCGCCAAAGCCTCAAGTAGTCATAGTTGGGGTTTTCAGAGATGGCTGGATCTAGGGTGTGTGATGATGGGATTCATGGTGCGGTCCTGGAGTTAAAGGTGTATATTCTGGGTGTGAGTGATACGTGCCCCAAGGGCAGGTAGCCTGAGTAGAATAAGGGACAGAAAGAGGGCTGCTGTTTGGTCCTTTGTACTTCACTTCTTTGCTGCTTTACTGCTTTGCTGCCACCTGCCTGCCATGGACTGTTTTCTGCTGAGAGATGCCCTTGTCATGCTACCCTGCTTCAGAGCCAGCCAATTACAAACTGAAACCTGTACAGGCTGAGAGCTACAATACACATTTCCTCCCTTAACTTTGGGTGTCTGGTATCTTGTCTCAGCAGCAAGAAAAACAACTGAGACATTTGCCTATGTGTTTATTATTTGTCTCTTACTACTGAAATATGAGTCCTAGGAACCTTGCCTTGTTGGCTACTAGGTCGCTCCTGACACATAGTAGAAGTGTAGTAAATATGTGTAAAATTTGTGAATTTCACCCCCTTTGTGCAGTGATTTTTCAAATGGAATTATAAACCCTTTGCAGTTATATTCCATGTTCCAGTTAGCAAAATCATTTTATTTAAGGATAAATTTTTCTTGACTTACATACAAAGTACAATTTTTAAAAATTTGCTGGAAACTTCCTACTGTTTGTGTATCTTGCCTCTTTTCACAGTTTGAAATAACTTTCAAATAAAAGTTATATATAATAATCTGATAATGACATGAAAATGAAAACTAGAAATTGAATTAGAAGATTTAGATTTAAAATTTGAGTTAAAAGGGCCAGTGAGATAGCTCAGCGGACTAAGCACCTCCCTGGCAAATGCAGGGACTGGGGGTTGGATCCCCAGCACCATATGCCACATGGGCCCTGCCCCCAGGCATGCTGAGACTGCGATTGAGTCCAGGCATGGTGAAAACAAGAGGATCACTACGAGTGAGATGCTATACCAAGTACATAAAAAATTAATTAAAAAATAAAATTTGATACTTTTTTTTTCATTTTATGTATTTGGTACAGTGTCACACTTTACAGTTCCGATTAGTAGTGATCCTCTTGTTTTCACTTCTCTAGCACTGGGATTACAGGCATGAGCCACCACGCCCAGACTCAGTCACCCAATCAGCGTGCCCCAGGGGCAGGGCTGGCGAAACATGCGGGACCAAGTATTGAACCCTGATCCCTGAGCTTGCCAAAGCAGGCACTTAGTCTGCTGAGCTATCTCACTGGCCTAAAATTTGAATCAAAATAGTTCCCATAATCAAGCATGGAATTTTAGCTAAACTTTCTGACATACAGAGCAAAAAATATTATGTATTAATTCCTATAACCTGACAAAGGAACACAACTGACAGTTGGTCTAATAAAAATGTTTTTAATATGAAATTCTAAAAGAAGTTTATTATATGAGATTATAGTGTATATAATAGTGTTTACATAATTATCCTCTAATAATGTCTTTATTAGATCTTTGCTAGAACAGATACTATTAAATATAGTTTATTAAATTAAGGCATTTCTTTAGAAATACTAATCTTTTGTCATTTCAATATACTTTCTGGTAGAGTCACTTAATACAAGTAGTGTTTCCTCATTCTAGTTTTACTATTTTAAATTTTACTTGTGTGCTCTGACTTTGGCCAGGTAGCAATCAGAGAGATGGTTTGTAAAGGACTTCTGACTATCCGTATAAGCCATTAGATCATAGAACCTAGATACCTATTATTGTGGTTCAGATGGAGAATGTCCCTCAAAGCCTCCTGCACTCAGGGGTGGAGCTCTCAGGTGATTGGCTCAGGGCTCCCGCCCCCTCCTGCTAGGAGATGGGGCCTGGTTATAGGCAGTTCACTTCGAGTGTAGCTTGAAAGACATCTCTCCCTTCCTGACTCCTCCCCTCTCTCTCTGCTTCTTGCTCACCATGACTTACACATCATTCCTCTACAGACCCTTCTGCCACGCTCTTTCTACCAGGGAGCCAGCCAACTATGGACTGAATCCTTGAAAAGCCAGAAGCCAGGATAAACCTCTCCTCCTTTAGGTTGTGGGTGTCAGGTTTTTTGTTGTAGAGACAAAAGGGTAGTAACCCAGGTAGTCGTTCACTGAGAATAGTGTAACAGATTTCCATAAAAGATGTTTTCTATTTAACAGATACATCATGTTCATTTGGGTTTTGTATTACTTCTTTTTTTTTATATTAGTGGATCTATAATTTTAGAAAGCTGGAGGATTGACCTTGAATGAAAATTGGTAGATAGTCCCCCAGAAGTACAGCTTTAGTAGCAACCCACATTATATTTTCGTTTTACCTGTTCTTTCACTTCTTTTTGTTCATAGATTATTTATTTTTTTAAATTTTTTTTTAAATTTTTTTATTTTTTATTTGTGTGTGTGTGTGTGTGTGTGTGTGGCCAGCTCAGCCCACCAGGGGGCGGGGCTGGCTGGCATGTGGTGCTGGGGAACCGAACCATGGTCCCTGTGCCCTGCCGAGCCTGTTTCAAGTAGGTGCTTTAGACCACTGAGCCAACTCACCAGCCCCCATAGATTATTTAGAAATGTGTTATTTAGAAAATTTAGTGGTTTTCAACGAAAGAATTACCATGTGCCCTTGAAAAAATGATACATTATTGTTGTTAGGTTAAACTTTCCAGTGTTTATTAGAGTCAGATGACCAATAGGATGATATCAATACATGGCTTCCGGGGTTTCCCTGAGAGTTATCTCTGTCTCAGTCAGGGAGAAAGGGCAGAGCAGAGTGCTTAAAAGGTTTTTGTGACATCACTGCCTCTCAGATTCCATTGGTCTGAACTCAGTCACATGGCTCCATCTAATGGTATGTGAAGCTGAGACACATAGTCCAGTTTTTAGCTTGAAAACAAAGGAAAACATATTTGGACAAACAGCCAGCAATCTCCTTCTGTTCTCTGAAAGAGATTGTATGACATAAGAAATTGTTGAACTGTGGATATACTGTAGAAATTGTAAAGTATTCAGGGCTAGCTGTTTTCTTTGAGGGAAATGTTGTAACTGCTGATTCGATTTAACATACATCATGTTTATTTGGGTTTTCTATTACTTTTTTTTTATATTTAAAGAAATTCATTTATTCCATCTCCTCACTCCCACCCCCACTTCTGACTTAGTAGATCAGGGTTCCCAAGGGCTCCGCTGGATGGTTTGTCTTGGGTCCATACAAAGTCAACCGGGTGACCTGGGACAGAGACCCACTCCTAAAATGTCTGGTGCCTTGATGCACTTTGCTGTCTTTTCCTCTCAGCAAGGACACTGTGTCCAGCCTTTCTTGCGCTTTCCCACAGTACTCTTGAGGAGAGTCCTGCTTCTAACACAGTGCTAGCCTCCTCGAAGGAGAAAGGGGAAGGTGCCAGTCCAATTAAGAGCTACGTGCAGAACTAGTGCACATTATTTCAAACATACTGTACTGATTGAAGTGGTCCAAGAGCCTACTCAGCTTCACGTGGGTGGAGGAATAACATCTCTTTGGGGGAGTGGCAAGCACACTCGTGGAGGAGTACTGAAGTTAGGCATGTTGTAGCCATCTTTGAAAATTTCAGTCTTCCATAGTATCATATGATTCTACTTCTGTGAATATTCATGTTGCTTTATATTTAATGTTTTAAAAAACAACATAGAGATAAAATATTTTTTCTAAGATATAGCAATTTTGGATGCAACATTTTCTACTTAGATTCTTTAGTACTTGATTTTGTTTTTTACAGTAAACATTAATTTTTTTTCTTTTTTTTGTGGCTGGCTTAGCCTGCCCTGGGAGTGTGGCTGGCGTGGCATGTGGTGCCAGGGATCGAACCTCAGTCCCTGCACTTTGCCTAAGCAGGAGCTTTAGACCACTGAATTATCTTGCCATCCCAATGAATTGTTTTTATAATCAAATTTTTAATCCTAATTTTATAAAGAAATAGATAGGTTAGCTGGATATGGCAGCACACATCTGTAATTACAGCACTCTGGGAAGTTGAAACAGGAAGATTGAAAATTTGAACCTAGTCTGAGCAAATTAATGAGGGCCTGCCTCAGTCTCTTGCTTCTTGAATCTTGAACTTTTTGTAAGTTGCTTTGTAGGGATACATCAGTTTGTATAAAGCATTAAAATAGCAAAATGTATTGAAAGAATGTTCCTATTTTAACTCTGCCATGTCTATAATTATCTTTTAAAATTTATTTTGAATACTGTTTACTTACGCCTTCAGTTTTTCTCATTTGGTTAATCTTACCAGAGACTGGTCAGTTTTAATCTTTACCAGAATATTAATTTTATTTCATTTATTTCTGCTCTTTTATTATTTTATTCTTTATTTTCTTTGAGTATATTTTGCTGGCCTTTTTAAAAAAAACTACTAATTTGCATGCAGTTTTCATTGCTTTTGAAACTTCTCTTCTTAAATATGCCTTTAGGCCTAAAATATTGTCTTTAAATTTATCTTAGCTATGTTGTTGCAAGAACTTACACCTAATACTTTCATTATTATCTAGTTTTATATATTTTCTAATTTTCATTCATTTATTCTTTAATGAATGAGTTATTTAAATGTGATCTTAAATTTCCATACGAATAGGGTCTTTTCTTAGGCTATAACTTAGGACTAATTTAGAAATTTATTATTCTCAGAGAATGTGATAGGTACAATAATGATATTAAACTTGAGTCTTGTTTATGATCTGGAGTAAATATCTTAAATTTGAGTTGTCTTTCCATTTATTATATTATTAATTTCTTTCTTTCTTTTCTTTTTTTCTTTTTTTTTTTTTTTTGGCAGAACCGGGGATTGAACTCAGACCCTTACACTTGCCAGGGAAGCACTTATTCTACTGAGCCATCTCCCCAGCCCCTATTAATTTCTTTTTTTTACTAAATTTATTGATACATTTTAGGTATACATAAAGATCACATTCATTATAGGGAATGTACATGACAGAACTTGATTCTTTTTTCCCCATTCCCCTACACTCCCTTCAACCCCTCTTCCCTTCCTTATTTATAAAAACTTTGTTTCCATTTTTTTCTCATTATGTTTTTCTTTTCCCTTCCTTCCCCGCCTTTAGTTCCCTTTCCCATTTTGACATTTTCTTCCTGTTTCATGATATCTATTATATATTTTAGTCCTCATTTACACTTTCAATTTTTTAGACCAGAGAAAAAACGCATTATTTACATGTGCATCTGACTTATTTCACTTAAGAGAATGGCCTCAAGGTGCATCCATTTACCAATATGTTTCCAGTTCATCCTTCTTTATGGGAAAAATATATATCCTATTTCCAAGATTTAGCTATTACAGACTGTGCTGCTATAAACATGGATGCACATATATCACTGTGATATGGTGCTTTTAATTCTTTTAGGAAGATACTGAGAAGAGAAATAGCTGAGTCCATGATCTGGTGTATACATTTTAAGTTTGAGGTGTCTTTCCATTTATTATATTATTAATTTCTTGGAACATTTTCTGATTTATTTCTTAATGTATTTCTTTTATATAGGTAATCTGAGTCCCACTATTAAAGTGAAAACATTAAAATTCAACCAAATAATAAGTAGCTTTTGCAAGGTCACAGATCCAGTTAGGCTTATATTCAATCAAAACACACACAAACCATTGATTAAAAATCAATGTGTTCTGGGTATATAGGTCTTGCTTTATCTTGGTCTTAACCATCCAGTAGAAAAGTATAAAAATGAGGTAGATAAAGTAAATCCATATTAATATGATGAGCTGTAAAAGGCTCAAGTCAATA